TAACACACACACACACACACACACACACACACACACACACACACACTCTCTCTCTTACTTCAAAAACTAAATATAGAGTTTTAATAAAGGGATTGGAGAGAACTGGGGAAGCTGTGGGGAAAATTGCAGAGGCCTCAGAGGAGCTTTCAACTCCCTTCCCTAATCAGAAACTGTGTTTCACATCTGCCATTCAGCAACAGTTGTTTGAAAGTAATTCAAATGTGTATCTGCAGAGGTGACCTTCTTAAACCCAAGCCAGGTTTTTTACTTTTTCAGTTATTTCTAGCAGATGTGAAAGACTTACCAGACATCAGTTCATTGAATGACTAGTCCTACTAGCCAGAAATAGATGAGGGTGGGATCCCACCAAGGAATCCCGTGGGGAGAGCTCTGGTGAGAAGCATAGCCCTGCCTCACATTCTCTTTTGGGAGTAATAGGGCTGCGTTTTCTATCAGGATGCTTTTCCTGGTCACTATTTGGTGGTTTGGGGGCTATATATTTTGTGTCAGCCTGTGGCAAGAAGGTGTTTTCTGAACTTGAAGTTGTACTCCCCCGGTGGGAGAAGGAACAGTATATCTCTCCTACCTCCTCCAGAACCTGCACCACTTTACCCCTCACAGCAGCCAGGAGGCTTGAAAGGAGTTACTTCTATTCTATTTCCCCGCTACCAATTTTTGGATCCCCTTCCCCTCTACATATAGCTTTCCCAAACCACAGCAGTAAGTAATTGACAGATTGGTTGTGACCCACATGTTTTTCTGAAGAGCTGTGTGAAACTGACCAGAGTTGTGTTCATTTCAGTCTGGTGCCACTTAGTAAGTTATGAGCAGGGATAGACAGACTTGAGCTTGACTGTCTCTAGACACATTGAAGACTGCTCCACAGCTAACTGAAGACACACTGCATCGATTTATGCTCAGATGTATTTGGAAGGCTTCTCAGACATAAGGGCTAGAAGCTGAGGTTTTGGGTTTTTTTTAAATGAGTCTAAATTCTGTAGAAGTTAATGATTACCATAGGTGAGTGAATTTTTCAGTCCCAAGCTTCAAGCTTGCCATTCCACTCCACATTTTCTCTGTGCTGCATTAATTCTGCTGTTTTCTTGGGGAGGGACAGTAATCAGCTAGTTGTTTATTTTCAATGCTTGCTGTTTTCAATTATTAGAGCTGTGTTCTTTCCACTATTACATGAGTAGGGCATGACTACAAGCCTCTAAATAACTTTTTACAGTCCAGTATTTTTGTATTGAAATATTCAAACATTGATACATGCAGTTAGAATCTGAAAGTGTTAGGTCCCAATGGCAAGGAGTCCATTTCTTCCTTTATGTTCCCACTGCAGCCAGCTTCCTGTCTTTCTTCCTACCCACAACAGATTACATGCCGCAATGCCGCACAAAAGCTTTGGCTGCAAAAAAAAAAAAGCTTCCCCTTCAAATATATTAGTGTAAAAATTACTAAACTGAAGTGTGGCCTTTAGAAAGCTGCTGCCATGATTACAACAGTATTTTTTTCTTTACTCAAAACAGTTCATATAAACTTGGAAGGGGCAGATGCTATTGTTTTTATGCCTCTATATCCATGTCCTTATCAGAGCCCTAAAAGAACTCTCTATTTTTTCATCCTCTCTCCTCCATCTCTTTCCCCATCTTATTGGGGCCACCATCCTTGCAGCCATCTTCTTTCCACCTGAAGAATGGACCAGAATCCTGTGTGGAACCCAGTTACCTGGCTATTTAATAAGCCAAAATGGACTGATAAGTAATGCAAAGCGTTCCTTCCTCCACAGGGATTGCATGTACATACTTCTATCAACCTGACAGAATGAAACAAAAGATGGAATCTCCTGGCTGCCAATGTAGAGGACTAACCACTAGGCAAAGTCAGTCAGTTACTTTGCACACAGTCTTTGAATTAGTCCATATACTCTACTGTGCTAACTTTCTAGTTCTGTTTATTTTTATGTATGTTGCTCCAATACATCATTAATTCCTTGGTAAAGTAGTTCTCCAAGTTTTCCATTCGTCTCAGTTTAATCTGTCCTAGTGAATCTCATGCATGTAATGTGAAATGAATCTATTAACAACTTTATTCTATGAAGGTTTGTTCCTGCATAATTTTTTTGTTCTGTTCCTGACATCTTTGCAAAGGAGAAAAAAAATCGATTGTAGGATGGACAGCTCATGCTTTTTTGTGTCAGTAGGCAAAACTCTTACCAGATATTCTATTTTAAGACATTTGTTCTGTGAGGATGAACCATGTTGTCTGGTATATAAATCAAATAATCACAGCCAATACTGTAAGATAAATTCTCCTGATTACAATCAGCATGAAAACAGTAGTGTAACCCATTCAAGATCTTGTGTAAAGCTATAAGCTTTCAGTAAGGTAGCAGTCAAATAGTCTATTAATTTTAGCCAGATAATTATCTGGAAAATTGGGACAAAGGTGATGTTTAGACATTTTTAACTTATGCGATTGTTAAATTATGTATGCTAGCAAGTTGCACAGAGGTGGCAACTCAGTTGGCAGAAGCGCTAGCATTACTTTCAAGGTCTTAAAAGACCTCCCATTATTAAACAAATTGGAGAGTTACAGGATTTTGCTCCCTGCAGTGCTCTGCTACTTTTCAGACTGACACTTTGCAACTGTCAGGGCCAGCCTTAGGCACAAGCTACCGTTTGTAGGGTTGGGAGGCAGACTCGACAGACATGCTGGCAGCCCAGTTTCTACCTCCTTCCCCAGCAGTGGGACTGCAGAGGCGAGGTAGTTTGTTGACAAACTTTATCTCAGCTTCTCCTATGACCATTGGAAGCTAGTCGGATAACTGTGACCTTCGCTGCCTGCTGAGTCCCATTTAGCAACATTTGCTGTTGTGAGCATCTTGGATATTTTCTAATACACACAATATTTTGAATCAGTTCTTCAAGTAACTAAATGGACCATGCAGCTGATCACTAGAAGAGTGGAAATCTTTGCCAAGAGAATTTATTTGTATTATGCTTAAAATCTTGCAACCAGGAAGCTGAGCTCTTGCATGCACATTACTTACTGTGGAAGGCCAATGTTCAAGCACTTCATGTTGCTGAACCTCTTTCCCAGGTGCCGTGGTAGAAACTGGGCACACTTGTGTGGAAGATGGGTTGGCTGTCAGCAATTGTGCCATGTCCATAAGTCTGTTTTATTTAGATTGTTATACCTCTTCCATTGTCCTGCTATCTGAGTGCCTGAGCATGATATTCAGTGTGTCTTAGCTCCATAGCCACCCAGGAATGTCTGCAGCATGGCTGTGTAGTGCATTATCACTGTGCTATCATTTGGTCTGAGCATAGGAAGGAGAAGAATCGCCTAGGTCTTCTAATGGTGTCTAACGTCTTCAGAGAAACTTGCTTCTTATTTTGAGTACAGAAGAAATTATTAACATGTTTGCAGGTTGTCAGTGGCTTATATTTCATAGGAGATCAGTCCTTGGGGTTTTTCAGAGGCTCTGATTCCCTCTTAAGTGCAATGGCACTCTATCACTCTGTGTATATATTTAGAGAGAGTGAAAGAGACAGAGGTAGGATCATATGAGTCCATCTGCTGTCCTGAGACACTTTCCATTCTGCTACAAATCAACATCAGGAAGATTTTTCCTGCGTATCTACAATGGCTCTGGTAATGTGTTTTTGAGACTTCGGTTCTGGTTTGGATTTGTTATTACATTACAAATAAAATGTCTTTATTTTGGTGCCACTTTCCTCTCAAATATTTATCAGCTGCAGAATATTTTTCTTTCTGTTTTATGTCTTCCACATGGCAAATGAGGAGGCTGGTTTTAAACAAGGGCTTTGCTATTCCCGAATTTTGAAACTAGATTAGTGCATTCTGTGACTTACCACTTTACAGAACTTTTATATTCCCCATTCATTTGCATTGAAATCTAAAAGTTATCTGAACTGCACTGTTGGGGTCCAATTTTGTGAAGCGCTGCAGATCTTCCACTTCCACTGACGTCAACAGAAGTGGAAGGTGCTCAGCACCTTACTGGATTTGACCAATTGGATCCTATCTAAAGGGAAGGATTTCTCCTTTAACCTTGAGGTAGAGTCCAGAAGCAGTGAGTGCTTTGAAACACTGTCCTTACCTTTTTCTTTATCACCATCTTTTTGAACAGGTGATGGAGAGTGAGGAGTTCATGCTTCTTCCAGCCAATCAGCTCATAGATATCATATCCAGTGATGAGTTGAATGTTCGCAGTGAGGAGCAGGTGTTCAATGCAGTGATGGCCTGGGTGAAGTACAGCATTCAGGAGAGGCGACCCCAGCTACCCCAGGTAACCTTGAGCATGGTTCACATGCATCTGCTTTGTACAAGGAGAGAGAGATTGGATTTTGATGGTGTAAGTAGTGGAAGTAATTCCTCTCCGGACTTCCCAGATGTGTTACAACACTCACAGTTTCCAGTCAGCTAGGCCTAAAAGTCCAGTGCCCAGGTACGTCAGTAACGGGCCCTTTAGAAATGCTTACAGATAGAAACATTAAGATTTGCTATACTGAATCGGACCCCAGGTTCATCTAGTCAATCCTGTCTTCAACAGTGGCCAGTACCAGATGCTTCAGAGGATTGTGAATGAACCCATAATGCAATTATGGAATAACCTGCGCCTAAGGGAAGTTTCTTCTTAACCCCAGGAAGTTGATTTATACCTTGAAGTCTGAGGGTTTATACTAGAGCTGGTCAGGACATTCTCAATTAAATATGCTCTTTTGTCAAAGCTAAAATTTTGCAGCGGCGTTGTCTGTTTTGATAAAGTTTTTGAGGGGAAGGTTTCTGAGTTCCAGGATTCTCTGGTCAGAAATAATGAGGGAGAAAGAGAGACTCTTACTGCCCTGCTTTGCCCTTTTTGCTCTAAAAATGGACATTTCAGCACAATTGCATTTCATTAAAACTTTCAAAAGTTGTTGTGAAACAGAATTGTCATCCTCCTGTCAGCTCTAGTTTATACCCTTACAACTCTTTGGACCCTTGTAGGACCATATGTTCATCTGTGTTTAATTCTGTGTTCTATTATACTTACTTATGCATTTAAAGTGTAAGCTGTTTGTGGCATGTTTGATGTAGTTCATTTACTGTACAATGCAGTGTACACTCAAAAGGGTAAATAGATAATAAAACTGCCAGCCAAACAAGTGCTTAGGACAATATGTATAGACATCTGCAGTCTCTTTAGGATTTTCAGTCAGGTTGTTGGTTTCATCCATTAGTAGTCTCATTGGATCAGCTCTTTTAAAATCTGATGTTGTCCTGCTGGATGACTACATTGACTTATTGAAATTGCAAAGGTGCTATAGACAAAAAGCTGCATTGAGCCAGAGTGTCATGGTCTGAATTGCTACTGGGATTGTTATTACACTCCTATTGCTAATCTTTCTGTCCTTGTGACTGCATTATAACTTAATTGGATCACAAAGCATGTGGAAGCAAATTAGCTAATGTTGCTCTCTATTTGACTGTTCCCTCTGTCTGTAAGGTGACAAGTGCGTTGCCTTTAATTGTGTTCTGTTTTGTCTCATAGGTGCTACAACATGTCCGTCTGCCACTACTCAGTCCCAAGTTCCTGGTGGGTACAGTCGGCTCAGATCCACTCATTAAAAGTGACGAAGAATGCAGGTAAGTCCCGGTGGAAAGAGTGAAACTGAACAGTGCACTTCTATGAATTTCACTTCATATGGGTGCCTTATCTGTGTTTGCGCTCCAAAAATATTGTGATTTGTCAGTGGTAAAACTAAGGTGATACTAACCAGTTTCCTTTTCTGGGATTGGGTAGAGGGGAGATAGAAGAAAGCACTGCATTGCAAGTATGTATTTATTTGAGTAGACGTTGCAATGTACTCTCAAAGGAGTTTTTTTAATCAATATTTTGGTGGGAGAGAGAGCTTTGGGTAGGCAATTTACCTTTCTGATAAATCACCCTTCCCAAGATGGCCTGTTTTTCCTATCACTTTGGCTGTTAAGCCAGGTGCCTTAGTTACCAGGAATCCCACTGAGCACTGCTCAGAGGAAGCCATATTCTAAACAACCTAAAATAGCTTTTCTGTATCTGAAAATGTCGTGACTTTAATGGCCTGTGTAGCCAGGGGTTCCCAAACTTTTTTCCCTGAAGTCCACCCTTCAGCTGCAATAGGCACTGCGACCCACTATTAATACTTCTTGGGAAAAATTATAAATTTTAATTATTACATACATATAAACTACAACACTATACACAACGTGCATGTTTACTTTTCATTTTAAAGTAAACAATTATAGAAATCCCAAGCAATATGCACTCAAAGAAATGCTTCAAGATCTTTGAAACCAAACAGCTCTGGTAAAACTACACTTCACTTTAAAAAAAATTTGAGAGCAAAATACGGCATTCAAACAGGGAAAACGCAATGTATAAATGTACAATGTATAAAACTGAACAATAAGCAACACAACAATGTTAACAAAATTGTTAAAAAATGTGTTATTTATTGATTTTAAAACAACATAGTTGTCCAACTTTGAACACTATATTGTGTTTTCAATTTTTTTTAGTGTAAAATCTGAATTTCTGTGCTGTGTAAGTAAAGACCCAACCATACTCTCTACTAACTAGAAAAGAATAAAACATTGTAAATAAAAACATAAAATGACAATTATATTATAACACACTGAGGCAACAGGTACTCATCTGATCTGGTAAAGGAGAATCCAAACTTCAAATATGTGTCGTCAGATTTTCTTACCACTTCCTTTATTTTTTTGGCTGGCTCATTTTGTGTAGCTGTAGATGGTCTGGGACTTCCAGTATCTTCTCCGTCAGAGCATCCTTCTCATTTTCTAAAAATAAATCTATCCATGTCAGATTGAAATACTGCTTGACATTTTTTACAGTTGTAAATGGTGAACTGTGTGTACATTACTAGGTTACCTTGCAGTGAAATGCACCATTGTACTCACGAAAATTAAACTTGACATATTGCAGCTTGTTTTTAAAATAAATAAATATTTTTTCTATATTTTGTTCAACATACACAGCTCAAAACATTACATTTATATAGCTTTTACTTAGATTACATGAGTCACATGAAGTTAAATAGTTACTAAGAGATTGGCTGGAGAATGCAGTTTTGCTGGCAAACCACCCAAGACTGTGTTGTGGCCCACCTTTGGGCCCTAGCCCACAGTTTTGGAACTCCTGACTATACCAACCCTCCTGGAACTAGAAGAGAATGCTAGGACTATGGGGAAGCTGCAACTCTCCTTTACAGTGGCATAAAGCTCCCCTTTCTAATGCTGCAGGCTCATGAGATATCAGACTTTGAAGCTCTGGTGTTTTTATATACAGAAAATTGTCACTCATGTAGCACTAATTGTTCCTTTCCTGGTCTTTGGACAGGTATAATACTTTGGTATTGGAGAAGTTCAATTTTTGTGAGGAGAAGGTGGAAGCTTTTTTCTGGCAGGTTATTTAAAATAAAATTTTAAAAAAGCTGATTGAAGTTGCTCAGGGTTTTGGAGTGTTAGAATTATTTGCAAGGTGATGGGTAAGAGGGTGGGTGGGTGAGCTAGTTAAAGCTGAATGATGAAATTTTTATCATCTGGATACCGCTTCCATCTATTGGTATTGTGTGTGAGGCTTTTAGCAATAGATGTCTTATGAATACCTAAGAGAGGTTATATATAATTATTATATATTATTATATAAATATAATATTACATAAAGTCATGCATGTTCTGTTTAGTATGGCAATAACTGGAACGTGATGGTGATGGCTGCTATTTTTAGGGATGGCATGTCCCAAATAGTACTTCCTGAAAAATGCCACTGTCATCCAGACATTTAGAATAAATGTTTTCTCTTGCACAGGGACCTGGTGGATGAAGCTAAGAACTACCTGTTGTTGCCCCAAGAGCGGCCGCTGATGCAGGGACCAAGAACTCGACCACGCAAACCCATCCGTTGTGGAGAAGTGCTCTTTGCAGGTGTGTACCGTGCCTGCAACTTCAGCTGTGAGCTCCAAGTTGAAATGCTCTGTTTCAAAGTTAGTCCATATGGCCAACCCTAACTATCAGACCTTCAGAAATGACATTTTATGTTACCCATCCCACACTTTCAGTTAACCTTCACTTTCTTCTTGTCTTGCATTGTCTTTGGGCTTGTCTACACTTACCGGTGATCAATGCATGGCGATTGATGCATCAACGGTCGATTTAGTGGGTCTAGTGAAGACTCGCTTAATCAACCGCAGATCGCTCTCCCGTCGACTCCTGTACTCCACCGGATCGAGAAGAGTAAGGGGAGTCGACGGGAGAGCATCTCCCATCGACAACGTGTAGTGTGGACCCCGTGGTAAGTAGATCTAAGCTATGTCAATTTGAGTTACTCTAGTCACGTAACTCAAATTGCGTAGTTTAGATCGAATTTCCCCTGTAGTGTAGGCAAGGCCTTTGTCTTGCAAAATGGGTTTCTGGTCTATGATTAGGGCTCCCAGGCACTGTGGTAGCACTCATAATAATACATGCTGAAACACTTGACTTTCAATGGAACTTGTGCTCCTAAACTTATGTAGGCACTTCTGAAAATCCCATCCTGTTTTCTTATTGACAGTCCTCTGAGTGAATAATTCTGATACTGTCTTCTTGGGATACTGTGTAAGAAGCATCTGTGGGCAGAAGATGTAGATAGATTATTTGTTGTAGACACATATACAGTGTGTGAGTTTGATGTACTCCCCTGACACTGTTTCTTGTGTTGATTCCCGCAGTGGGAGGCTGGTGTAGTGGGGACGCAATTTCCAGTGTGGAGCGCTATGACCCTCAAACCAATGAGTGGCGGATGGTGGCTTCCATGAGCAAAAGGCGCTGTGGAGTTGGAGTCAGTGTTCTGGATGACCTCCTGTATGCTGTGGGAGGCCATGATGGTTCTTCTTACCTTAACAGTGTAGAAAGGTAGGTCTCCAGCAGATCATTGCAGAGTTAACATGCATTCAAAACATGGTGTCATCTGTGATAAGGGTGTCCATTTTGCTGTCTGTGTTGATCGCATGCTGAACAGTTGAAATACTACATCTATACTATCTACGTTTCCTGCTTCAGTACATAAGCTAATATGTGGCAGTGATTACCAGCCTTTTTAACATCTGTATCAATGTTCTATTAAACTAAGACATCAGACATAGCAGGATGTAGCCTTGTTCCCTAACTTAATGGTAATCTGAGTCTGATTACTCTGCTCTGAGCTCTATATAAGGCATAGCCTTTGACATGTAAAGGAGTAGGGAAAGGAAGTGTAAGTGGGCCTGGCTGTAGTTTCTGATGGGCATGGCTTTTGCAAACTTCCTTACATATGCATTCCGACTGGCTTGTTTTTTTAGTGTTGCTCATGAAGGTGAGCCTGCAAGCATATATTTACTTGTAAGGTGCGGAAAACTATCCAGACATTCTTTTCTGGGCTTGGTAAATAGAGAATTATGTGAACCTTGGAAATACATACAAGGGAAGAGGAATGGAGGTCAGAATTGGGCCTTTGAAACCTTCAGTGATTTAAAGTAAAATACAGTGGAACCAGCTTTTAATGAAGTCAGTAACTTTTCCAAGAATGACTTCATGCTAAGATGAGGTTTTACTGCAACCGGAATTGCAGTTTGCACTACATAGTGCATTGGAACAATTCAGGACTTTCATCCTTCTTCTTTATAGTTTCCCTCTGAATTCAGGGTAGGCAAGTTCCACTGTACCACTAGTCCCAAACCACAGGGGAGTCGGAGATTTCCATAGATAAGCAGTTCAGACTTGAATTATTTGACACACTTTTTAGATATGACCCAAAGACGAATCAGTGGAGCAGTGATGTGGCTCCCACCAGCACCTGCAGGACCAGTGTTGGAGTGGCAGTTCTCGGGGGATACCTGTATGCTGTTGGTGGCCAGGATGGCGTCTCTTGTCTCAACATTGTGGAAAGGTATTAAAAATAAGGAAGCGAGAGGGGAGGAGAAGGAAAGATCTTATAAGAAGATGCAATTGGTGCACATGAGTTTGAAAGGAGGCAACAAATGCTGAGTGGGTTTGTTAGTGATTGTGTTTGAAGGTGGATGTTTTTAGTTTAACCTGAATTCCAGCAAACAGCAACTGTCTGCCTAGGTGCCACAATGTGCATATCCTGAACCTCTTTTAGAGGCTAAAACCAGAATAGACGTGTTAGTATTACCCCACCTGAATGTGGAACTGTCAGAACTACTGCTCCCCACAGATTCCTTTGGTTGCTTGGTGCAGCTCCCAAGGGAAACAGGGCCTGATGTGTATATTTGAAAGCTCAACTGGTCTCTGCTTTTTCTTGTGGCAGGTATGATCCAAAAGAAAACAAATGGACTCGGGTGGCTTCCATGAGCACCAGGCGCTTAGGAGTGGCAGTGGCTGTGTTAGGGGGCTTTCTCTATGCTGTGGGAGGCTCCGATGGGACGTCGCCTCTCAATACAGGTATGTCACTTCTCCATACTGCACTGCAACCAGTATCTTCCATGGTCCCGTTCTTTTACCCATAAGCCTTCCCCAGACAGCTGGTAAATATTTTGTGGTCTGTTTTCTGAGTGAGTTCCTCACTTGAAGTTGATTTTGCTATACATTAGTACTGTCCCCATCCTCCTAAACCACTGATAGCTGGTTATATATTTGTGTGTCTGCTTATCACTAGGATGTTGCAATAGGCAGTTACTTTGTGCATTTTCTTAGCATTTGCCTACCAAGAGCCAGTGCATCATCTCTGCAATATCTCTGGTCTTCACTGGCTTGGGCAACAGGATACTTACTGGAGGTCACTCTGTCACAAGTGTAGATGGCAGTACAGACCAGTTGTAGCTTCACCAGATTGTCATTCTTCAGCTGAGGTGCAATAAATGACTGAACATCTGGCATTCCTGTCTTTGTTAGACTGGGGTTGGGGAGAAGAGGAGGAATAGCAAGCCTCTAGAGAAAGCAGGGAGAAGCAGTGTGGATGGTGACAAACTGACACAATGTGTTTCTGGTGTGGGGAGGAAATGTTGTGTCTTCACAGTCTGATCCGTGTTATGGCTACAAGCACAGAGTCACTAATAGAAGGGCATTAGATGGTGTCCAAAGATTTGTAATGTGACTTTCTCCACAGTGGAGCGCTACAATCCCCAAGAGAACCGCTGGCACACAATAGCTCCCATGGGGACTAGACGGAAGCACCTGGGCTGTGCAGTATACCAGGACATGATCTATGCTGTGGGAGGCCGAGATGATACCACAGAGCTCAGCAGTGCCGAGAGATACAACCCCAGAACCAACCAGTGGTCTCCTGTGGTGGCCATGACATCACGGCGGAGCGGCGTGAGTTCTGCTTCATTTGCCAGCTTGTGCTGTGCTTAGCTATTCAGCTGGAGCATAGGGAGGGCTCTGTTCTTTTCTTGCTTCTTTCACTTTTCCTGCATCTTAACCCCCTTCTAAGAGGGAAATGTTTGTAAAAAGGCAAAGCACATTGCCCAGAAGGAAGTACAAGGTGTAGCAATATGAGCTTCCTATGCTGCAAGGGGTGAGTGGGTGACGACGACAACTTTTTAATACAACTGAGAAGGGGAAATTTTTTTTAGGTTGCTTTTTTCCATAAGAGTTTTGACAACTAGCACTGAGTCACGAGCACTTAATTCTGAAGCAGGGAATTCTTGAGTGTACTACATCAGTAAGTAGCCATAACCTCCCCCCCCGCCCTCCCAATAGCAGCAGAATCCATTAGAGAAAAGAACATGCCATTAAACACACAGGCCCTGTCCTACTGTGCGTTTTGGAGGAATTAGCAAACAGACTGGAGAGCTATCATGTTCATCTTGCCACCCAGACAAACTGGACTTTATGATGAATGGTCACTTACACCAAAAATCACACCACTCTCAGGTTGCTTCCAGTCCCAAGAAACCAGTCACTTACCTCAAATCAGTTGGTACCCTAGATCTTATACCAAAGACAATGCCTGTAGCCATTCCTGTAATAAACTATCTAAAGGTTTATTAATTAGGAAAAAGGAATAAGAGAGTTATTTACAGGTTAAAGCAAGCAAACATATACACACAAATGACTTGCCATCTAAATCCTAAGAGTGATTGAATTGACAGACCACTACAACTCTAAGTGTCTTTCAGGGCAGTCCCTGGGGATCTCTGGCTTCAGTTTAGAGTCTCTGGCCCTTCAGAGTTCAAATAGCCAAAACACTGGAAAATTTCCCTGTGGCTTTGTTTTATTTCTTTCATTCATTCAGCTTCCAAGGCCACAGGATGAGCTTTCTTGCATGTAGCATTTCCCAGGTATGATAGGGCCATTAACCAATCCTTTGTATTGCAATATTCCTTGATGGCCTGTCTGACTTTGGTAGTCCTTCTGGATGGATGGGGAGAACGATTCCCATGGCTAAGTTCATAAATTCAGAGCAAACATTTTCAAAGTTATAAAGCAAAATGTACATATTTTCTTATAGCATGGAATACAGACATTATAAGTGTGTTTAATGCATGCAGCAACTTACAAGCATTTCATAGAATCTGAACACTAAATACAGTCTTATAAGACTAATACGTGTTTTAAGCAAAACTAACATACAGGTGACCTGGTCTGGTCTCCAGCTACGAGGTTGTCAGTTCTTTACTAATGCCTGCAGCCTGGGCAAGAGCTGGCATCTGGCCTGCCAGCATCACAATGAAGTCTTTGGAGCCTGGGGCTGGAGGATCCTACTGTTCGCTCTGGGATCAGTGTAGTACAACCCCGGTTGCTTATTGTGTGATGAAGGTCTTGTTCATTCTAACCCTTGCTGTTTTTACTCTCCCAGTCCCTGGGCATGAACTTGAATGTATCATTTGTGCTATCTGATGAGCTGAACCAGTCTTGAGAGCAATGACATTTAAATCACTTGTAAAACCAACATACTGCTGATGAGAGTCCAACACAATTGCCAATGCACGAAGCAGCAAAACACATTTTTTGTCTTCTCTGACAGGGTGGGAAAGCTCTAATCTTTTTTTTCCGGTTAACTCTCCTCAGCATCCCAGGGAAGTAGCCATGTGTTTTGAGGGAATCTGTACTGAAATGTTCTAGTTGAATACGATTTTATGCTAGGTTTTATTAATCTGTATTTTAACAGAAATACTAAAATACAATTGTCCCTTCTCTACCCCTACTGCCTCCAGGAATGTGTGTGCTGTGTACTGACATCTTCCCAAGGCTTGACTGCTGATTAATGAATGGTCTTTTATTGAAGTGTTTTTCTTGTGAGACAAGCCTTCAGGACCTGCAATGAAGCAGGAATAATATCTGGGGGGGTTGTTTTCTAGGTTGGCCTTGCAGTAGTGAATGGACAGCTAATGGCAGTGGGAGGCTTTGATGGCACAACGTACTTGAAGACCATTGAAGTGTTTGATCCTGATGCTAACACATGGAGGTAACCTTTAAATTCATGAAACAGTGACATTGCAAATCTTAGGCACGTCTGCTTAAATTATGCTTCCCAGCAGAGTAGAGATGCCTCATCTTACTGGAAGTCTGGTTCATGGAGGTGACCACTGTAACCCTTTGTGTGACTTGGCTGGTTTGTTTGAAAGTGAAACCAACAGAGGGAGCAGGCAATGTGATCCAGCATGTCACATGACTAACCTCCCATTTCCAGTGTGAGAGAGAGAATCACTTTCTGAATAACTGAGAGGTGGAGAAACTGTGTTTCTCTGCCACCCATATGCGCCTGGAGTGTGTTTCAGAATAGAAAGGAAATGGAGACATTGACCACTCATAATGCTGTCACTTTAGTGCTGATAGACTGTATCAGTAGCAGTGAAGTCTCACTGCACAGCCATTTCCTAAAGAGAGGTAGCAAACCTCTACGTAAGTGTTGGGCTTTCACCAAAAGAATCCATATCTGAATGGTCTGTAGTGCTGCTGTGTTCCAATATGTGTCTTGCCCATTGCTCCTCCATACGTCTGACCAGAGGAGTAACAGCCATTTTGGAAATAGCTCCCTGTGGTGAGGGCCTGCAGCTTCCTTTTTCAAAACTGCAGTAGCTGTGCTTGAAGTCCCCTCTACCATCTTCATTTTGAATATAATAGAGGTGATTCTACTATAGTGCCTTATACTTAAGGACCCCAAAGACCTTTGCCCACTTTAGTGAATTTAAGCCTCACAGCACCATTAGGAAGTAGGGATTTGATTTGCCATCATACAGCTGGGGAAACTGAGGTCCAGAGAAGGTGAGTGACTTAGTCAGTTACATAGTGAGCCATTGGCACACACTGTATTAGAACCTAGACCTCCTCATCTCAAATACTGTGTTTTGGCACTTTTTTTGTAGACTAATCTGGAGATCTGTATGTGTACATGTGTTTGTACATACGTGTGTGTGTGTGTGTGTGTATGTACACATGCATTGAGCCATGTCTGCTCAGTTTACCAACAAAAATAACCATGTACCTTAGCTGTTGAAGCTTAAAGATACAGAAAGCAGAACAGAATTCAGTGTGCTCCTTTGGGGCTATTTAGGCTTCACAGTGCTATGCTCTGATTCCAGAATCTCTTTAGATGGGGATCTATTGTATGAAGCAGAGGAGTTTGAGTATATGGAGTTCTGTTAAATCTGCAGTTAGAAAAATCTTGTTTTGACCTTTAAACTAAGCAGGTCTGATATGAAACCACTGGTGGGAAATATGTATTGAACAGAGAGAGGCTGTTTTTCCAGAATCACTTTTCTGACGATAACTGCACTTGAAAACAATGGTTCGTACATTAATCTAATCAGTGTAGCGTTTCAGACTCCTATTTATATCCTTGAAAGGGATTTGATGCCTTAGAAATCTGTCAGAGTGCAGGGAATAGGAAGAAATTAATGTCCTTGTCCTATTGAGCTGGCCTGAACTAGTATATTACCCTTTCATGCTGAGATTTTCCTATGTAGTGTCGGAGGCACTTCTCTCAGTTAAGTACTTTTGTGTGATGATGCCTCTGTACAGCTCAGAAAGCCAGCCCAGTGGGGAGCAGTATATACTTAATATTCCTGAGGGAATTTTGCACCAAAAAATTAAAAATTCTGTGCCAAAAAATATTCTGCACACATTTTAAAATTCTGCAAAATTCTACAAATTTTGTCAATAAATAAATGTGGAGGCTCCAGCATTGCAATGGAGAGCACAGGCCACTGGCTGCACAGAGGTGGGAGATCACCTCCAGCCATCTCCCCGACCCCACCCCTCGGGACACAGACTTGATGGAGAGGCTACACCCAACCGTGACACGGCGTAAGGGCTGGGCTTGCCACAGAAATGCCCCGGGGCCCTGCCCCTCCACACCAGGCACACCGGGTGTGGGCAGGCAGGCTCAGCCTGGCAGGATCCAAGTGTGAGGAGGGATCCAGGTGTGGGATGAGAGGGTTCTGTGTGGGGCAGTCAGGGTACGGGTGGCTCAGTGGCGGGTCTGGCTGCGAGAGGATTCTGGATGCACAGGGGCTCGTTGCAGGATTCCAGGTGCAGGGGCAATGGGACTCTGCAGGGGGGTCCAGATGAAGGTGGTTGGGGCTCAACAGGGGAATCTGGGTGAGGGGGGATGGGGCTTGGCATGGAGGTCCAGGTGCTGGTGGGGTAGGGGTCTGGGTGCAGGGGGCTTGTCAGGATGGGGCTTGGAGTGTGGGGAGCTCACCGGGGGGAGGGGGGTGGTCTGGGTTAAGGGGGTTGATGTTCAGTGCGGGGGGTCTGACTGTAGGAGGTGAGGCTCAACGGGGTGGAGTTTCAGGTGTGTGGGGGTCTGGATATGCAGGGGTCCGGATGCACAGGGATTGGGCAGACAGCGGAGTTCCCCATAAAGTGATCCCTCCCCCCAGTGCTGAGGAGCGATGGGGGGAGGGTGTGGAGCTTCCTGCAGACGGGGGAGGTTCTGGGGGTGGGTCTGACCTGGCCCAGGCCGCTCCTTTCAGGGGAAGAGCAAGTCCTGTCCACCCCAGCCCAGCCGGAACTAGCAGCTGAGCCTGGTGCAGCCCAGCCCCGCCTTCCCCGCACCCCTACGTCCCATGCAGTGATTTACCTCTCTGCCATCTGCTCCAGGTGCCCAAAACACTGCGCCCGCATTGCTGGGGTGGGGCGCATGACCGCTCTTGTGGCTTCCCTTTGCTTCCCCTTCAGAAAGTCCTTTTTCCGTAAGGAAGCAAAGAAATCTGGGGGACATGAATTCTGTGCCTGCGCAGTGGTGCACAATTCCCCCAGGAGTAACTTAATTCTGCCTTTTAACCGAATGGTGACAGCCACTCTCCCTGGCAGGAGTGGTTGGACATATAGTATGGAGAGCTAGCCAAAGCATGTGTTTGTAGCTAATATAGGTAGCTATTGAAGATACTAGCTTGTTTGTTACCGGCACTGAATTGAATAAAGCTGGTGATGTCTCCTATCATTTTGCCTCTCTTTATTGGCTGCGGTTCTTCTTGCTGTGTGAATTTTTTTCTCCTATGTGTGGAGCACCACTGGGAAATCCTTGATATGCAATCTGGGGTTAATAGGTGGCATTAGTGACAGTTACTGAAAGAACTCCACTGTCCTATTTCTTCCAGCAGACTGTAACTGCATCAGCACATAGAGGAATATGCAGCTGAAGCAGGAAATGAGAGCTGATAGGCATCAGATTTCCATATGAAATGTGGGCACTGTTTCAGTATCATAGCATGGAGAGAACAGATGATGTCTGAAATGCATTATACATTGGTCTGTTCAGCTGTGTGTAGTATAAAGCAGATATGAGTCTGAAATTAGCTGTGCACCATGTAGAAGATTTACCCCCCTGCTCCAGGGTTGCCCAAAGCATAGCCAGAGGGCCAAATGCAGCCCACAGAGTTGCTGCCCTCTGTTCCTGTAACTACACAGGAGCAGAAAGGAAATTCAGTGCAGTTTTCTGATGCTGGAAGACTGGAAGCAAAATAATTTGCTGTCCGCATCAAGGGAGATACATATGTGAGCAAATATGGCTATTTACTTTAGATGTATGTGTGTGTGTATAGATTGGGGACCCCTGCCTTACTCATCAGACAGCTTAATCACAGGCATCACCTGAAATGGAGACCAATAATTGTGCTGAACTATACATGCTGCCTACGGAGGCTGTTTCATGCTTTTATCAGAGAAGACAGTGCATTAAGAGCCTAAGCAGTATGACCGACAACTTTTCTTTGCAGGTTGTATGGCGGAATGAACTATCGTCGACTGGGAGGTGGTGTAGGCGTTATCAAAATGACACATTGTGAATCCCATATATGGTAAGCGTCTAATGGAGGGAAAGCCCTTGGTTCTCAATCCTATACAAACTGAAGAGACTTACTGACTCTGGAGCTCTGTGCGGCTCTAGTAAAATATAGATCCACCTTAATTCTTTGCTGGTGCCTCTTTCTATGGAATTATAAATAAAATGACTTTTTGAGCGCACATCCAATGGGAGACCACCTTGTCAGACTCCAGGAACCATCTACTACAACTAGAAGCTTTGCTTATGTCCATATTTTTTTCTAAAGTCTCTTGGTTTTTGAATAAACTGAACTGTAAAAGTTACTGTAGCATAAACAATGACCTGGGACTGCAAGCTGTGCCAGGAGTCTGGCAAAGAGGAGGGCCTCTCCTCCTCCAGCAGTGGAAATGGCATCCATGCAGTGGGTGAAAGAGGAAAGTGATACTGAAAATAGTGCTTTTGCCTTATTTACAGAGAGCTTCATTTAAAAAAAAAAAATGTACTTGACCAGAAAGGTGCCACCTTTGCACAGAAGCTTTTCTGAGTGCAGAGTATATTTATTTTTTCATTTAATTTGTATCATGTATTTTCTTTGTATCACTCACAGTGAAAGATTCCATCTCTTTTAATTTTTTGAGATTGAGTTCTGACAGGCTGAAGGTTGGGGCAGGGCTACATCCTGATACTTCTGGACGCTGCTGCGCCAAGCCACTTGGGCCTCTTAGAGCACAGGAGCTGTGAAGATTAGTGCTCTGAGCGTCTGGTCGGTTTTTGGGGCAATGAGAAGCAGGACTGGAACTCCCATCTCTTTGCTGAATTACTGATGCTCAAAAAGGAGGTTGGGGATGAAAGTTGAAAAATAGCTAGACTCCAAAATTATGCATTTTTCCAGTGTGTGGTACAAAGGTTCAGGATCTATGTCTTTCCTGTATGTGAACCTTATGAGAGCACTTATTGCCATTATCAATTCTTGTCTCTGCTCACATGGGAACCACTTGTTATTTTTGGAGAATCTAGAAAGATATAGTTGCAATTTCCTAGCACTCGCCCCTATTGCAGACTTGAAATAGCTCCTGCTGAAGAATGCTCTGGTCAGAATCAGCTTAGCTCCCTACCCGTCTCTCTCCTGTTTCTTTATAATTCATACTGGGGAACATTAGGATAAGGATCAGATGGTACCTCCCCTTAGTGAATTTGTATGCACTTCCTTATGTTGGCTTTAGAGCTGGAAAAGGTATGAGGCCTGTTTAATAGATTTCTGGAGGAGATGGTGTGCAATTGCATTGTGAGTAATGGGGTATGTTTTAGCGAGTGCAAAAGCTGGATGGCAGAGTGCCTCCATGCTTTGAGCAAACAAGACAAGTTGGCTGTATTGTTAAGCTCCAGAATGAGAGAATGTCATGATGCAACCGAGGTAACTTTGTGGCATACCTACTAAATTAGAGATTTGAAAGGGTTGGAGGAATGTACATCCTTGATATTAAGAGCAGTGCTAACATCTCAGTACGGTTTGGTTCCTATAACTCAGCACTGTAATGTGCTTGAGAATGTAGAAAAATAACACTATGCTAACAAAAATGGGTCATTAAACAAGACTTTTTTAACAAAAACAACAACAAAAAAAGCTCCTCAACGGTTGGCATTCTTGTGTTTACATTTGAAGATCATTTGCACCTTTACAAGGAAAAACAAGTATTCTGTAAACAATTGTTTACATGTATCATTTATGCTTTTTTCTAGCATGAGTAACTTGTATAAATAGCAGTGTTACCTTAATAAATTTCTTTTATGCTGTTATTTATTGCTTGTTCTTTTTGTCTAAAGCAGCAGCAGGAGGAATAACTTATGGTTTAATTTTATGCTAATTTTGCTTCCTTTGACTTCAAGAGAAACAAGAACAGGCCCATTTCAACACCTCTAACAAAAGCAGGACACACATGAAATTCTCATAAGCTGTTACCACTCTCCAGTTAAGTTATAGAGGCTCATTGCTGCTCCAGCTTTAGGGCATAAACTGATCTGCAAATGGGAGTCAGGCAGAACTACTCTCCCCCTACCACACGGTATAGTATTTTTCAGTAGGGGTTTGACACCTTCCTGAAGCATTGGCCCAGTAAAGACAACATACTGGACTGAACAGATGGCTGGCTGAAGCAGTTCCTAAGCAAAACTGACTTGTAGCTCTGCTGGTTGGGTGTCTGGCGGGGGGGAGGGGGGAAATGGCACATGCATCCTTTAGCCTAGAAGTGGATTGTTCAGGACCCAGCTATTTGTCTAGAGGGAAAGGTGGCCCTGATAACAGAAGCTCAATCCAGCCCTAGTGTAATTCCACTGATTTGCAGACAGGCATTTACTTTAGCACACTTTCCTAGAACTACGGTTATGTAACACTGAACATATGGAAACAAAGTTATTTAGCAGGTGGTTGTAGATTAAATACTATTTTCAAAAGTGGAAGGTGGCTGTAGATCACAGGTACACCACATTGATCTTTCTTTCAGTGTTTCTTTGTCAAAGCTGGAGTGAATGTGGGCTAGTGTTAGATTTTTGTATTAAATTCAATATATTTATTTCAGATTTTATAATGACCATGCAAACAAGAGAGGGATTTTGGTATCCGAGAAGGTGAGAGAGACTTACAATTCTGGGATAAATGTACTAGTTGGATCTTTCTCCTAAACTGATCAGCAGTGCAAGTTAAGTCATTGGATTTCAGAATAAAACTCCTCAATATAAACAGGAACTGCTTCAAGCTGCCAATTTTTATATCAGTTTTCAGTCTCTTGCCAAACACAAGGCCTAGAATGTACTTTTTTTTTAATGAAAACTTAGTCCCATTTTTTTAAATCTTGGCTTATGAAACTGCTCTGGAAAAAATATCAATATTTAGGTACCTTTCATCCAACAGCAGCCATGGATCAGTGGGAACTGGCGAGTGCTCAGCACTTCTGAACGTCAGGCCTCATAAGCACCTGCCTGCTACCGGTAGTTGTATTATAGAAGCACCTAGGAGCCTAGTCATAGCCAGTGTGCCATGATCTGTACCACAAAGTATTTAAATATAGACAAATTCCAGAGTAGGTGAGGTAGTCTTACTGCCCACTTAAAATCAATAAATTAATGGAGATAGGATATCTCCTAGAACTGGAAGGGACCTTGAAAGGTCATACAAGTCCAGCCCCCTGCCTTCACTAGCAGGACCAAGTACTGATTTTGCCCCAGATCCCTAAGTGGCCCCCTCAAGGATTGAACTCACAACCCTGGGTTTAGCAGGCCAATGCTCAAACCACTGAGCTATCCCTCCCCTGTATGTACCAGTCAAGAGGTAAAGAATAAGATTATTTAACTGAACTAGCATAGATTGTGGCACATAAAATCAGTGTGATCAGAAAACTGTTTTCACATTGCTTCAGAGCCAGTACATTCAACAGCAAAGTCAAGTAAGAGTGAAAGAGGTTGACACTCTTACTTGACTTTAGCTTCACTGACAAAGGAGGAGAGCAAAACCTTCTCTATATACTTACAGGGTGGGGGGAAAAAAATCTCATTTTACCTTACAACACCTTAATTTGTACATTTTAAACAGCTATATTAAATGTAGCCAATATCCCATTTTGTAGTTAAGGAAACAGGCATCGAGGTTAAGTGAGTTGCTTAGGTCACTAGTAGCAGAGCTGGAAACAGGAGGCTTTTCCTTCAAATGCTCTGATACCAAGGCCATACTGATTCTTCTGAATAGTTCACTGTTCACTCAACAAACATAGGGGAGTGCTTTTGAACCTTGCAGAAATTAATCCCAACAGACAGGCTTTTCTGCCCTATAGTACATGCACCACCCTCCTGCACTACTGTGTTGGCATCTAGGCCAGTGGTTCTCAACCAATTTACCATTGTGGGCCGCTTATGCAGCTTTCTCTGTGTTAGGTGAGCCACATCCACACAATATATATACTACCTGTATGGCCCTGAGGATGTCACATAGGTTGCAGCTGTGTGCTGATTGAGAACCACTGATCTAGGCTATGGAGCAGGACTAGTGTTCCAGCTCATGCCTGACCCTTTAAATGATACTTGAAGCCATTACAAAATGTTACTTTATTGATGTGACCTTTTTATTATAGCAAAATGTGCATCTATATTTTCCTCCTATGGCCCTCTTTGCTTCATTACCCATTGTGGATGTCAGTCCAGGAACAAATGAGGTCAAATGGAACTAATATGCTTTCACTTCATGGACTGGAGTTTTGTGAGGCTAAAAAAATCTGCAGGAAAGCCAGCTTTCTGCAGTCAATGTCTCTCAAACATGAATCTACTGCAGATGGACTTAATGTGATCCAAGCAGAGCATCTGTAATAAGTTTTTTAGGACAGCAGGTATAGTGTACAAGGTTTCATTGTATCTGTGAGATTGCCAGCTCTGTCAGCAGCGTCAACACTCCTATTAGGTGCTTGCTATGTAAGATCTGGAAGGAAAAAAAAACCCCATTAGTTGTAGTCAGAACAGAAATACAATAAGCTATTTAAGTCACTGATGACAGTTGCCAATGTGTGTTCTACACATTTAAATAGCAGAGTGGAGTGAAGGATTTGCCCTATGGCTTAATCTCATCACCATGGTACTTTCCCTGTTTCTTTGCAGGACTCCTCCTGTTAGGACAGTAGCCTTCATGTACACCCGTCTCCTCCTCCTCTACATGGGGCCTTCTGATCTTCACTCCCATCTTGGGAAAAAATCAGCAGCTCAATGGACACTCTGCTCCCACCTCCTTTTTGAAAGAGGGAGAGAAGTCCCAGCCACTCAGTCCCCTCACTTCTCCTTCCTCTCCTAGGAAGAAGCACCAACAATTGACCACTCTGCTCTTCCACCCTCCTGCCAACTCTCTTTAGCAGTGATATCTGATGATTTCGTTATTCAAGCCAGGCCTGACAAGTTATTATTGAACATTTATATTGCTGTAGTGCCTAAGGATCATAACCGGGTTGGGTCACATTGTGTTGAGCACTGTACAAATTAGCATTACCTGCCCTAAAGAGTTCACATTCTAAAAAGGTCTCCTGTGCTTTTTCCTACCCACTAAATGAGGCAGAGTTCCTATAGTCAATGGTTAAATAGGCCAAGCAGCCATGAAATGAGAAAGATACTTCTTAAGATTGGCAGCACCCATTTGGCAACGTCCACATTTAAAACATATTTCTTAGCTATGTTGCTAGCACTTCAGATCGTTATAAACGAATCAATTTTTAGTATGTTTTTTTTAACTTTTCATTTCCCAGCATGGACAGTGAAAATACACTAGTCATTACCATGTTATATATCAATCCCAACATTGTGCTAGCACCTAAATAAGACTAAGATTTTGTCTCAGATATTTTTAGTAAAAACCATGGACAAGTCATGGCCAATAAAGAAAAATTCAAGGAAGCCCGGGAGCGGTCCATGACTTTTACTAAAAATATCCATGACAAAATGGGCAGCTCAGCGGTGGGGTCCCCACACCACCCGCAGCAGCTGGGCAGTTGCAGGGGCCCCGCTGAGTTCTGGGGGCCCCTGGCACCCAGGAGCTGCAGGGTACCCCCATCGCCTGGGGCAGGGGGACCCTGCAGCTCCCTGCTCCTGGGGCTAAAGTCACGCAGGTTGCTGAAAGTCACGGATTCTGTGACTTCTGCGAAAAAATCGTAGCCTTACACATAAATACCTGGGGATTTTCTTAAAACTTTTTTTTTTTTTAAATATCAAAAAAGTCAATTGTTTCTATTGGCTGTAGGTTTTGTATAAGTTTGGGATTTTTAAATGCAAATTTTAGCCAAAATGAGACAAAGGCTGTCTTTGTTCTGTGCTTGTACGGCGCCCAACACAATGACTGGGGGTCCACTACAATACAAAATGTTGGCTGCACAACTGCCAGATGTGCTGTGGAACACACTAGAAACTAGTTATGTCTGGCAGAGGCTGAAATTTTAAATTGATTTTATTTTTTAGGGAGAAATCAGTTAATGAGAATCAAGTACACCTCTACCTCGATTAACGCGACCCAATATAACACGAATTCGGATATAACGTGGTAAAGCAGTGCTCCGGGGGGCGGGGCTGCGCACTCCAGTGGATCAAAGCAAATTCAATAACGCGGTAAGATTTTTTTGGCTCCTGAGGACAGTGTTATATCTAGGTAGAGGTGTAGCTCCAACTTGAGGGGCAGCTCTTTCTGGCCAGGTAGTACTATTTTAATTATACTAGCTAGAACAGTGTTAATCAAAACCTCATAGTTGGAATTCAATTTAGTACCTTTATATTCCCATCACAGTGTGCTGAAGCTATAGATGTAGAGACTTTCACCAGTCTTGTGGCTGACAAGTGGATCTTAAAGTGTCTATGGAAGTGAGAGTAAAGGCAGTCCATAAATAAATTCACTTCTTCTTGAGTAACCTCCCCAGGAGTTTTTTGCACTGTGTCCCATAAGGCTTTTGCATCCTCAGGGTGTATGGCATATGAAATGTCCAGAGACTGGGGAATGCAGGGCACAGAGAAAACAAGTTCTGTTGCAGCCATATGACTATCCACTTTGCACCCAGTCCACATAGCAGCCATCCAGGCAAGATTGAGTGGGCTGATGGTTAAACGACTGAAATAACAGTCAAAGGTCTTCTGAAACCAACTGCCAACTATGGCTGTGTAACTCTCTGCCCCATTTGCAAGGAACAAAGATAAACAGGTAAAATCCTCTGGTACGCTCTCCAAAAGATCATCTCCAGATATACAGCAGAACCAGCCTGACCACACCACTTTGTTTTCTGCATTTT